CTCAGCGACTGCTGCTTGCTCACTGTCACCTCACCTGGTGGAAGGGGCAAGGGAGTTCCCTCAGGCCTCTTTTATAAGGGCACTAATTCCATTCACTCCAAAGATCCCACCTCCAAGCACCATCATACGGAGGATTAGATTTCAATACATGAATTTTGGGAGAACACAAACATTTCGTCTAGGAAAATTGGTATTCAACCTGCTTTTATTTGTGGAACTCTTTTGTCAAACAAGACATTTCAGAGAACACCAAAATGTAAAACACATAAAAGGAAAGTTCTGTGGAACACACTGAGAATCCAGTTCCTACCAGCTCTGACACCCCTCACATCCTTCCTCCAAAACCTGGCTGCCACTGAGGCCCCTCCTGGTTATACGACAGCAGTAAGGAAGCCACTGGGAAATAACTGGTTCAGTAGTGTGATCTTAAGATGTGTATTGGTCTTAGTCCACAGCTCCCAAAACTCTTGGAATTCCCTGAGCAATAAGAGCAATGGGAACACCTTTTGTTATCATATTTGGCCTCTTTTCTTAGATCTTCAGTGTCACAAAGGTAAAATGAGTGTCTGGTTATTCATAACAAGCTTCTTTCCACCACAATTGGGTTCATGCTAACGAGGGGACAGTTGAAAAGCACCAAGAAATGGGAGTTGATTGCCAGGGGAACAAACCAAGAATCAAGGGGTGGAACTTTCTGTGGCACTCACTGATTTCCTAGAAGGAGAGATGGACTAGAGGTTGAATGAATCATCAATGACCAACAACTTATTCAATCATATCTATGTCATGAAGCCTCCATAAAGAAATGAAAGAATAGGTTCAGAGAGCTTCCAGGTTTGGGAACCAGAACATTTCCAGATGTCACCATGCCAGGCCCCAAACCCTCAGAGGACAGAAGCTCCTATGTTTGGAACCCTCCCTTATGTAACTCTTCACTAGATTGTTGATTCATATGCTTTAATATCCTTTGTATTAAACTATTAATCTAGTGAGTAAATGGTTTTCCTGAGTTCTGTGAGATACTCTAGCAAATTAGTAGAACCCCACGATGGGTCATGGAAATCTCCGATTTATAACCAATCAGTCAGAAGTAAGGTGTGAAGTATGATCAACTAAAGTCAAAATGAAATCAGCATAGTTAAGGGAAACAACTGAAATGGAGCTGGGAAGCCATTAAGGAACAGCGGTCTGCATGCATCAGCATCTTCACATCTCAGAAGAATGCCGTATACAGCTTGCCGCCAAACACATTAATGCGACCAGCACATCCTATGGACTCATGTGGAATCTTGCCTGACCTCAGCCATGGCAGTCAATCAGAAGCTAATTAACATGCAAACTTCTGACAGCTCTAATCATAAAATACTCAAAACAACTCATGTTGATGAATAAACTTCTTCCTATTTACCTTTAAAGACCCCAAACTTTACCAGCAATTCTGAGCACAATGTAGATTACTACCCAAACCTGTTCTCCAAGACTGCAATCCCTAAGGCCCTAAATAAATAAGCTAATTGTTCTATAGCTTTGCTTTATTTTTGACAGTAACTTGGGTTGGCAACTGGTGTCTAAAGTGGAGGGTGGTCTTGTGGGGCACAGCCCTTTACCTGTGGAATCTGATGCTATCTAGGATTAGATAATGTCAGAATTGAATAGAAATACAGAATATCAGCTGTTGTCCAGAGAATTGTTTGGTGGTATGGAGAGAATCACCCATCCATGAAGGAACTGGATGCAGAACCCAGGAGAGCCAGTAAATCACCAATTGAGTTAGTTAGACAGACTTGGGTTCCAGGATTAGCTGGGCATCTACTTAACTCTGGGACCTTGAGCAACTTAATTGCTCTGATGGATGCTATTTCCTCATTGTGAAGGCTGTAAGAGATAATGGCCATAAAACATTAGCATATTATGCAGGTAATAATGTAGATGCTCAATAAACATGTTTGTTGTAAGAAAATTCAATTAGAAGTTAACATTGAACTCTTCCTAAAAAGTTGTATTGATGAGGTTCGGAGAGTACTGAATAGCAAGCTTGTATTTAAAGGATTCATTGACCATGTGTTTTTTCATTTGGAAAGGATTGTAAATTCTTCATATCATTTCTATTTTCAGAGTGGAGGTGGGTTAAAAAAATGAAGAAAACTGTACAGGACTAGGCCCACTCATTATGATTCAGGAACATAAGTCAGAAAGTGCAGCTGTCGGCCTGCTTCGAGAGCAGATAACAGCATCATTTTTGTAAATGGAAGTAGAGATAAAGTCACTATGATACACATTTCTGCAATGACCAACCAGGGAACATTAGAGACAAATAAATAAATACTTGTTGCCAAGGGAATATTTCCTCCATTAAAGGCATGCATTAACCCTCGCAACAGAGTCATCTAATAAATGATTCATCTAGACACTAATATTTAATCAGCTCATATCTTTAATTGCTCTATGAACCTTTTAAGACTGCAGCATATTTAAACATATTCAAGGTTACTTGTTGTTCAAGGTTAATTCCTTAGTCAAACTTGTTTTAAAATAAATAAAGGACACAAAAAGAAAGCACATTATTACTTCGTACTAAATGGTAATGTTGCAATTGTTTTCTTTAGATAAGTAGATTCTTACCTGTAGTATTTTACCTTAGAACTTTTCTGACAATTTAAAAGGTTAACAGAAACTATTTGTGAAGTCATGGAAAGTTTGTCCTGCTGTGACTAATTAAATAAATAGATTTCAATTTTCTACGGAATTGCTTTTTAACTTTGTACAGCACTAAAATGTTTTACCTACTTAATTTTATAACATGAATCATCAATAATGAAATATATTTTCTATATTTGTTGAAATGAAATGTGATGCCAAATTAAAAATTCTTATTAGATTTTCTTTACTTTTAGTATTTCTTTCCATGTATATGACAGTCCTTACATAAATAAAAATGTTACCCTGACTTATTATACTTTTCCACAAGAGGGCTCTAGAAAGACAATTATACTGCCCATGGCTAGTGATCTGCCTATATATCTATAGGTAAAAATTAGAGAAATAAGATTTTTAAATATTTCCATGAGAATTAACTACATGTAAAAAATTAGTTTGAATCAAACTAATATTTCTACTGATTTTGTTATGTAATAGTAATGAAAGTTAAAATACATTGAATGCTTCCTATGTGCTGTTCAATGTATTAAGTGTTGGGTATGTGGTTATTACCTGCTCTTTACAGTCAGTTATGAGAAACATAGAACTCTGGAGTCTGGTTGTCAGCATTTGAATCTCAGCTCTGCGATTGTTATCATTCCTGTGACTTTGGGCAAAATATTCATCACTTAACTTTATCTGTCCTTGGTTCTTCTGTATAATGAGGTTATTGGAAGCATTAAGGGAGTTAAGACACATACAGCATTTACAAGAATGCCTGGCATTCATCTAGTAAGCATTCCTATTACTGAGGGCAAAACTGAGGCACACAAAAATTAAATGACATGCTCCAAATCACATAGCTAGTGGATCAACCAGTGTGCCAGGGAATGTACTAATCAACATGCTTCTGCTATAAGAGAAAATTGGCAGCTCTAGCCTCACCATATGTGCCCCCCAGTGCCAACTGAGGGACTCACCTCATGTCTACCCATGTTGCTAGCCCTGTCCTTGCTCCTGAATCATCCTGTTCCTCTCACTGTTACATGTCACTGTAATTACTGACTGAGAGCATGGTTACTGCTCACCTTAATCATTGATTATGAACTTCACTACAAGGCTACTTGAGTTCCAGGACAATATCTGATTTATTTTTGCTTTCCTAGCACACACTAGATACTTACTTTGTTAGCAAGTATTAACAAGGATGATTACAAAATAAGGGTATGCAAATTTCTGCAATTGTCCCATATAATACTTTTTGTCAATCCCGTTTTACAGATGAGTAAATCAAAATTCTTACAGGCTCTATTATAAAGATCTCATAGTTTGGAATTGGCCAAGCTATTTGAAACTAGATCTGACTCCAAAGCCTGTATCCTTTTGCTACAGTGAAGGACACCCCCCCATACAGTCATTGTTTTACATTTACTGACTGAAGGGAACCTGTGAAAATCCCACTAAGAAATGTGCCTGAGATACATTGTAAATAGATAGACAGATGATAGATTGTTTGTTTTTTCTACAATAACTCTATTCAAAAGAGGATTATTCCTTTCAAATAAGTTAGTCAAATTGTGCACTTTTTTCAACAAGGTTATAAGTTTTCAAATTGATTTTTTAACTGCTTTTTTAGAATTATTTGTGTGGCACATTTCAAAAAATGTAATCATGGGATGGCCTCTGAGGTCATTATGCTAAGGGAGGCAAGTCAGATGGAGAAAGACAAATACTGAATTGTGTCATGTTTACATGGAATCAAAATAGCCAAATCTGTAAAAACAGAGTAGAATGATGGCTATCAGGAGCAGGAGGTTGGGGATTGGTGGGGAACTGGGGAGATGTTTGAAGATACAAGTTTGTAACTAGTAAATAATTAAGTCCTGGAGATCTAATGCACAGCATAATGATCATACAACAATAGTGTTATATAAACTTCAAAGTTGCTAAGAAACTAGGTCTTAATTGCTCCCACCACAAAAAATAAATAATAAATACGTGCCCTGATAGAGGTGTTAGCTAAAGCGTTGGTGGTAATTCTATTGCAATATATAAGTGTATCAAATTTCATTATACACCTTAAACTTGCACAGTTCTCTATGTCAATTCTATTTCAATACAATAAATAAATATAAAAATGCAACCATGAGCAAATATTTAATTTATCACGATTAATAATTAATCCAGATAGGTATTTTTTTTACAGTGCCAGAGATATCATAGCTAGCTACAGCCTTCAAAGGTCTTCCTTCTTACTGGCAGGCAGACATGAATTAAATAGTTGCCCAGATAATATAAAATCACAACTGTGGAAAGCATAAAGAATAAGAGTAACCTACAGTGAGGGTGTATCATGAAAATAATCACCTGGTCAGGGTTTCAGGGAAAATTTCTTTCAGAGGAGATTTCTGAACTGAGAGCCAAAGGCTGTGTAGGTGTCAGCCACGTGAAGAGGGAGGGAAGAACATTATTCCAGGTGGAGGAAAGCACACGTGCAAAGGCCATGTAGCTGGAGACACCGTGCTGCTGACAGGGAGCTGAAAGGAGGCCAGTGGAATACAGAAAAGAAGCACTATGGTGGAAGAAGAGGCTGAAAGGTAAAATTAGTAAACGTTTGTTGAAAATGTACTCCATTTTGCTAATGCCATAGATACAGAGAAATCACAAAGTAGTAAAGCATTTTCTCTCAGGGAACTACTTAATCTGGCAGAAGAGGGACACACACACACACACACACACACACACACACACACACACACACACCCCTAAGTATAATATCATGTAATCACTATTGTGATAGCGGTAAGAATAAAGTGCTTGTGGGAATGCAATAGGAGTAATTAAATCTGAATTAGGAGAAACGGGAAGGAAGGAATTGGCAAAGCATTTTTAGGTACTTGACATTTGAACTGAGCTTTAAACTATTCCAGGCAACAGCATGGAGAGGCACAAGGTGTAAACAGTAGCCACAAATCTATTAAACAATGACTTCTTTGAGGATCTATGGGAAGAGTTATGCTATTTTCTTTCGGTTTTCCAGTATCAAAAACATGAAAATGCTTACCACATCTTTCAGCGTTTCTCAACTGCCGCCACTAGGTGGCAAACGTTTCCAAACTATGGCAGGAGCCTGTACAGAACATCCGCGCCTGTTGTTGAACACCTTTGAAGGCTCTCCAGCAATCACAAGCAGAATATTCTAAAACGTGCTCATTATTGTCATTTTAAGCACCCTTACTGTTTTTATTTAAATAAAAGATGGCAATGTGAACAAAACTGCATTTCAAAAAATGTAAACACAGGTTTTATTGGCAGAAGCTAAAATTCAGCTTTTTTTAACAATAGAACCTTCCACTTCAGGCTCAGAACAAGGCCAGAGAAGTGGAGCAGCTCCATCATGAATTCCCATCTCCATGACAACCTTTTCAGTTCCAGGGACAATTAAAGCTACAGTATCAATCTTTCAGGAAGAAAAAAGTAAATCAGAGCCCTGGCCAGTATTCATTTTTTTAGAAGTGGGTTAAGGAAATTAAATTGATCCTAATTAGTGACGTTGAAGTATAGGGGAAAGGGAATAGATTTCAAAATGCTTCACATAAGCAGTCCCTTATCTTCCCTCCACCTCTCCTCCATTAGACAACAAAAATATGAATGTTGTGCAGTTTAGTGTGCTTACATTACCACTACCCTCTTGCTTTCTTTGACAACAGTTCTTTTGTGCCAGACATTTTCAAGAATTCTGGCTTAATTCCCCTTCAGGCTATATTTGTGGATAAAAAAAAAATCTGTTCATTCCGTTAGCAATTAGATTCTGACCAGATGGCCTAGAAAGTGTTGGGACTCCCTCAGTATCCTTCAGTAACCCTATCTACAGTTCCTTTTCCTCTTCTGAAGACATTTATGGATTTTATTTTTAGTGTTCAGTGAGAAAATCTATAGAGCTCAGGTTCCAACTGCCCTGGAGGGGATTGTTCAGAATTTAAGGGTCCAAAAAAATATATTTAAAGGGTTAAAAAATTAAACTTATTAAGTTTAGCAGAACAAGAGTTTGATATATGAACAACAAATGATTGATGAAGGATTTTATGACTTAATGACTCTTCAGGAGTATATATAGCATTTGAAATAGAGACTGAAGGATAGGGGCTTTGAAGCTTTGGGGAGAAAAACCATTTCATTTTGTTTGTGGGACAGATCTAAACCTGAAATAGAGTGAAATAGAGAGGGACAGCTCCTTTGCTCCTTTAAAAAATTATAAGTAAAGATAGATAAAGATACCAAAGGGACCTGAGCTTTCATGTTATCTCATGAAGATAATAACATGAAAAACTTAATTGAAATTAAGACATTTCTGAGATTCCTGAGGATGAAATTATGGTGGTAATATGTTACCAAGGATTATAATACCAGATTATCCCATGAAAGTCTTTAACATGTACACTGTTTTCCCTATAGGAAGGTATAAGTGTATACCTTCCTAAAATCAGAAGGATGGGACAGATGGCTGCTCACGGACACATTCCTTACCAGCATCATACATTTTTACAGGTACAAAATGCCGGCATTATGGTACTGTTGCTTTATTCATTTGAACCATCACTAAGGTCTTATAAAAATGGCTGGGAGAAATAGGTGACCAGTCTGTGATTGAGCTCACTTGTGGACAGACGGTGTTACACCTGAAGGTACTATCATTATCCTTTTTTTGCTTGGACAAATTGAGACAAAGAGTAGTTCAATGTTATTCCTAGCACTAAATCTACAGTAGATGACATATATTTCTTACTTCATTCTTTCCTAGAAATGGTAGGGTTGCCCCTATCCTTGGCCCAACAGTGGACACAGAGTTGACCTGGACAAAGAGAGAGTTTCAGCTCATGGCCAAAATGATATATTGAGAAATGGACATAAGCTTTATCAATGGAAATTGTTTTTTCTGCCCAGGGAACTTGTAGCTATTGAGAGAGAAACCATTTTTTTTTGTTTATGGGACAGATGTAAGCCTGAAATTATTGGTGGTCATTTTTCCAACTTATATGTAGAGCTTGTGTGAAAATGAAGCCAACATAGAAAACAAAGAAAATATATCCTTTTACTAATGAGTAATATTTAACATATGGATTTAGCACATAGAGACATTGAGATTTGGTTAGATCTAAACTGTAAGGTGAAGAAAAAAAATATGTCTAATGATATCAACTAATGAGCCCCTACAGCTAGATCTTGACAAACTCACCTAGATCCTTGTAACTTGTAAGCATGAAGTGTTATTTCTCTTAATTATTTTTCCTTTCTAAATTATCATACAGTCAAATTGACTTTCCATGTATAGTTCTAAGAATTTCAGCACTTGTATGATTTAAGTAACTACTGCCATTAACAGGATATGGAAAGAGTTCCTCCCATTACCTCCAACACCTCCCTCATGCTGTTCCTTTATAGTTACACGTCCCCACACTCCTAATCCTGGGTAACTATTGATCTGTTTCTCCATGTCTGTAGTTTATCTTTTTTGAGAATGCCATATAAATAGAATCTTATGGTATGCAACCTTTGGAGACTGCTTTCTTTCCCTCAACATAATGTACTTGAGATTTGTCCAAATTGGCATGAATCAAAAAAAAACTTGTTCTTTTTTATTGCCATATTCCATTGTACAGATATATCACAGTCCATTCATTCATCGAAGAACTTACGCTGTTTCCAATTTGGGAGAGACTTTATGAAGAGAGCTGCTATGTAAACATCTGTGAACAGATTTTTGTGTGAACATAGCTTTCATTTCTCCTAAGAGTGGGAGTTGCTGAGTCATATGGTAAGTATATGTTCAACTTTATTAGAAATTGCCAGTGTCCTACACAGTTGCATTACCACCAGCAAGGAATAAGAGTTCTAGTTGCTCTGCATCCTCATCAGCACTTGATAATGTCAGTATTTTTTATTTTAGGCATTCTAATAAGTGTATAGTAGAATCTTGCTGTGGTTTGTTTGCATTCTTATGCAAATTTGGCTAATACCAACTTATGGCTAATGATGTTGCAATTTTTTAGAACACGCTGATCTACCATATTTATAACCTCTTTAACAAGTGTCCATTTTAATCCAGCTGTGCATTTGAATAGCTTGTTTCCTTTTAAATAGTTTAAAAAATAGTAATAAGCCAATAGATGCTAGAGCTTACAACTAATATCTAAGAGTTGATCCTGTGTCTCAAAAGTACTGTGCCATTTGTACACTTTCAAAAAATCCTATTTTTCAGGCTCTACTTAAGACTGTCTGCTTCAGTCACTCTAAAGTGCTGCCCATATATATGTTTGTATTTTTAACGAACTCCACAGAGTATTCTGATTTAGAACAAGACTGGAAAATCTCTGTTCTGAAATTCAATAAAGATTTAATAGCTTATAGGGTGATGGGATAGCTTAGAATGCAGAAGCATGCATTTCTAGTAACTACCTTTGGATTAGTCTAAATTAAGTTTACGATACATTCTCAAGCTCAGTTACTGCAGATAGACCTGTGTTTTTTTAGCAGCCCTGAAGTCCAAGCAGACAGACGTGACATAAGTTGGGCTACTGGGGTGCTGAAATGGACCACCCACCTCCTCACTGCAGGAAGGAAGGATTTGTTCCCGCAGCTACTTGGGAGTACTACCAGAAATGGCCCTCAGTTACCATCCCACTTGGTGATTGCCAGCACACTGCCTCACCTGGGTCACACACTCTTTTTCCAGCTTGGCTTATATCCAATGCCTTGTGAATGTGGATGACGGGGGAGTCCTCTAGCCAACTTAGGACAGCTCTGAAGGGTCATCTACACTGCCGAGCTTTCTTTAGGGTGAGACAAAGTCTTAATGGAGGCTGCATTATCGCCAACTTTCCCCACTACCAATGCTGTTTCCTTCCTCTCCCTTCCACAGGATCTGATCCCAAGAGCCTTAGAAATGTTCTGCATGCCAATCTTCACCTCAAGACATGCTTCCTAAGGAACTCAACCTTTTTCAACTCTTTGGGTTGCACATGGTCAGAACCAAACTATCATAAGGAAAGGAGGAAAATCATTAAAAGATCTTGGGTTATCTCAAGCTGCATTACAAACAGTGGGAAAAGGAGAGGTGTAGTCCAGATCAGAAACAACTCAAACTGCAGGGTGCAGCCACCAGATCACTCTCTCACATTCTCTCACTTTTTCCTTCTGTCACTTGCTCTATCTATGGTCTCTGTTTCTTTTTGTCAGCTAGATAAATTCTAACACTGTAGATTCTCTACTTCTCCTAGATAAGAAATATGGCTGCTATAGTTTACACTTGCGTATTCCTGTCATCAGGTAAGGATGAAGTCTTCTTCTCAAAACAGTTTGTAAAGTCTTATGAAGCATTCTGTTTGTCCAGATTTGCATCCATTTCCAAGGACTGAACCTGGTGTCAGGCAGGGGATGCTAAGAACATGCTAACTCCCTGAAATCACTTGGTAAGAAAGGAGAGCACTTCCCAAAGAGGGAGGCTTGTCTTTTTAGGGTCTAGGGAAATAATATGTATAGGAGTGAGCTGATGTGCTCTGAGTGGAAATCTCTTTAATATATCATTATTGAAAAGATATCATTGCTATAATAATTTACTATCTACCAAGTACTTTGCAGTTCAAACACATCTTTATCTTGTCTTATTTTTTTACCTTTACAAGATTTTTAAATATATGCACAACTGGTGATGTACCTTTTTAAAAATCACATGGCTACTACGAATTAGATCTGCAGTTCAAACTAGATCTTCTAATTCCAAATCCAACTGGAAAAATTGTCCACCTGTATACCTAGTTACCAATTCTTTTCCCCCAAAAAGCATGAATCTTAATAGCTCCCCCCTTCAAGAAGATCTACACATTTCCTTTCCCTAAAGCAGTTCATAATGCATTCATATGTGTGCTGCTTATTGGTTGCACTTAAACCTCATCAGAATAAGTGATGGCTTATAATGTCCATTAATTAGCACAGAAATCACTCTTCCATCAATTTTGAAAATGAAACAAAGATCAAAAATCAATATTGTCTGAATTCCCACCGGCAAATAATGTTTCCTAATGGTCAGTTAAAACAAATGCATTATTTTACAAAGTCCACTCTCAAAATACACGTCAGACCAATAAATCATTTGTTTGATCAAGAGATAACCATTTTTATTTTTATTTTCTAGCACTTTTCCCTCTACATCAGGAGTAATATTACAATATAGTTTTGGTTTCTGCATTTGGTTTCACTTAAGATTAGCCTGAGTATTTTTTATACTTGAATTTACATTTTAATCTAGTCATAACATAACATAGATAAAAAGTGTATATTGTTAAAGGAAAATCTTGACATATATAGATGTATCCCATGCAACCCAACCACCACTTAGATCAAGATGCAGATCAAAGTTTCTGTTCTGTCTCTTCTAGTCTATCTAGTCTTCAGAGGTAATATTCTGATTACTATCACCATTGGTGTGTTTTGCCTGTTCTTAAGGTTTTTCATTCAACTTAATGTGTATGATATTCATTCATATTGTGTTATGTACCATTAGTTCATTCTTTTTTACTGCTGAGTAGAATTCCATTATATGAACACATCACAATTTATTTATCCATTCTATTGATGAGCATTTGGGTAGTTCCCAACTTTTAGCAATTATGAATAAAATTACTTGAAACAATCTTGTCCTTATTCTGTGTGCATAAATGTATGGACTCATTTTTCTTGAATATATACCCAGGAATTGAATTGCTGGGTCAGAGGAGAGGTTTATGTTCACAAAAACAGCCAGTGTTCCAAAGGACTTACATCACTCAGAATTTGCACCAGCAAAATATGGGAATTCCATTTGTTTGTTATCTTCAACAGTAGTTGGTATGGTCAGTCTTTTTAGTTTCAGCTACTTGGTGGGGGGAAGAGTATCACATTGTTATTTTACTTTGCATTTCCATAGTGACGATGTTGGTCACCTTTTCATGTAATTGTTGACTGTTTGGATATCCTCCTTTGTCAAATGCTTAGTCATTTGTCATTTTTAAATTTGATTTTTTTCTTTTGCTTATTAATTTGAGGGGGTTCTTTTTATATTCTGGACGTTAATCAGTTATATGTATTGCAAATATCTTCTTCCCTTCTATCTTATATAAAGAGCATAATGTTTCCCTTTAATGATGGTTTTGATGAACAGAAGTTTTATTTTTTACATTTAGGGGTATAATATATCTCAAATTAATTTTTATGTGGTATATAGAGATCAGAGTTCATGTTTTACCCATCTAAATATCTAATTGGTCTAGCACTACTTATTAAAAACACTACCATTTTCCTCATTGTATGTTTTGATGCTTTTGTTTTAATATATATGAGTCTACAACTGGATCCTCCATTCTGTTCCATTGATTTATTTGTCTATTCTTGCCCCTATACTATACTGTCTATTAATCACTTCTTTAATAACTCATAGTCCTCCAACTCTATTTCACTCTTTGGAGAGTGTACTGGTTCTTTGATATCAACTTGTCAGTTTACACACAAAGCTACTAGAATTTTTATTGGAATGGCATTAGCAAGTATATCATTCATCAACATGGTACATCTCTTCATTTGTTTGACCCTTCTCTCATTTCTTTAAGCAGTATTTTGTGATGTTCATTGTGCAGAATTTGCCTGCCCTGGCCCTCTTCAGATGGAGAGCACACTAATGAGCTAGGCTCGAGGGGACCAGAGGTCTGTGAGGTGCTGGTGAACTCCAGGAAAATTGGTGTCACCTAGGAATCTAACACCCTTCTTCTCAAACCCCATTTACATTAACAATATATTTTTCTAACTGAAATCAATTTTAAGAGTGAAATAGAGTCGGGGGACTACGAGTATAATATTCCTCTTTATTTATGGTCACTGATTATAGATGTTAACCACATCCACAAAATACCCTTATAGCAGTACCTGAATTAGTGTTTTATTAAATCACTGGTTACTATAGTCTGGACAAGTTGACACAGAAAACCAACCATCATACTGAGAAAGGCCAACAGCTACCAGAAGCTGGAAGAGATAGGAACTGGGTTGTCCGTAGGACCTCTGAAGGGAACAGCTCTGCTGACACCTTAATTAAGATGTCTGGCCTCCAGAACTGAGAGAGAATAAATTTCTGTTGCTTTAAGCCACCACATTTGTGGTAACTTGCTACAGTGGCCATAAGAAACTAATACAGGTGATTTGGAGCTACAGGTTCGGGAGTCATAGATGTGATGGATGGAGAGACAAGAGCGAGAAAAATGAGTCATCACAGAAAAAGAAAAAAACATTTCAAGAGGTGGTCTATATTATCAATGCTAAAGAAAGATGAAGTAAGATAAGACAAAGACTTTCATTAGATTTAGCTACAAATGTAATGAGAATGAATTTTTTAAATTAAATTTTAAAGAAAAAAACAGATTTTAATGTGCAGCATGATTAATGGCAAAATGAGGACTTAACGAATGGCAAATCATGATCTCTTTTTTCAAAATGCTTGAGTTTGAAGAGGAGGAAGGAAGTAGCATTGTAGTTAAAGAGATATGTAGGTTTAACATGATTGCCTCCTTCCTTATTTAAGATAGAAAAGTCTATGGAGTATTTAAATCGTCTTCAACCATTGAAACACCAGAGAGAAAAGTGTGATATAAATAAAAAAGCAAGAAACCAATAGAATATAATCCTTGAAGAAACCAGGCAAGTGTAGCATACAAAACATTAGGCAAGAGAAATAGTACCTCTTCCATTGTAAACACAAGCATCAGGGAAGAATGGATTTAGGTTCATTATATTATTGGGATTGAAGGAAGCTGAGAAAGATCTTGTGTGATGGTTTGTACTTTCTATTTTCTCTGCAAAGTTAAAGATGAAGTTATTTACTAAGAATAAAGGGTGAAGCCTGCAAAATTTTGAAACAAATAAAAATTTTTGAAAATAGACAATCTGGGCAATAGGAGAGAAAGCTAATTAGAACAAATAACAGAATATTTCTGCACAGTCCTGAATATGCATTTTTGGTTGACAACATTTAATTTATAGCAGCATCAATCTCTCCATCATAAAGGTTCCTGTAATAATGCTCAAATTCCAGGAAAAATGAAAAACATTTGGATTGATCTGACATTTAAATTTGATCAGTCAGCGACAGCAAAAGACAAACTAATGAAGATGAGGATGTTAGCAAGAGAATGGTTGAAATTATGATATCTTGTCTCTAGGTTCAATACAGGTTTTATTTTTTTCATGTTCCTTTTCTGTCTCTGTACTCTAACAGCTAATCTTAACATATGAGAAGCCATGTTGTTCAAGAAAGAAAAGCAATCATTAGATGAAAGTTTCTAAAAGGGAAGCAAAGGGCAGAAAGAAAAGGGGATGGGTCGGGGAGGAAATACAGTTAAGGGCCAAAGGAAGAGGCTAGGCTTGGCAAGCATGGATGATGGGCATGGCCATGCCATTTGCATCATTAAATCCAAATGTTAAAAAACATGATTATGCATGAATGCTTTCTAGAGATATTTCCAAGGAGTTGGAGTGGGAGGAGAGAGGGAAGTAAGGACAAAGGCATGCAACATGGGAAAGCCTTCCTAGCAACTGATTTGGTGTGTCCCTCCCACCCACCCTAAGGTTGCCAAATTAAATGCATGATGCCCAGGAAAATTTGAATTTCAGATAAACAATGGGTAAGCTTCTTATATAAATATGTCCCAATCTCACATGGGATATACTTATACAAAAATGTACTCATTATTTACTTGAAATTCAAATCCAGGTGGGTGTCTATATTGTGTGTTACTTGCTACATTTGGCACCCCTATTCCTCCTCCACTGCTGGAGATGGTTTACAATCCATTTGGCCAAGGAGCAGAACTACACAGCAGCACTACCCCTAGGAGAGATTAACGTTCTGGTTTTGTTTTTTTAATGAAACCACTTATTCATTCATTTTACATGTATCATATATTTATAGGCCAAGTATTGTGCTAGCTGGTGGACATCCAAACATGAGTTAGGCTGCTAAATTATAATTTAAACAGAAGCAGTTGGGACACAATCTCTTCTCACAAAACTGAGAATTGAGATATGGTCTCTGTTTCCTGCCTGATCTGCTTCTTGAGGTACATAATTTAAAAAAAATTAAAGGATCATTCATATACAATCTTACGAATGTTTCACATGAACAGCACTGTGGTTTCAACATTCACCCATTTTATCAAGTCCCCCACACACACACCCCAGTGCAATCACTGTGCATCAGCATAGTAAGATGCTGTAGAGTCATTACTCTTCTTCTCCGTGCTATACTGCCTTCCCCGTGACCCCCCCATACTGTGAATGCTAATTATAGCACCCCTTAATCCCCTTCTCCCTCCCTCCCCAACCTCTTCCCTTTGGTAACTGCTACTCCCTTCTTGGAGTCTGTGAGTCTGCTGCTATTTTGTAGCTTTAGTTTTGCTTTGTTGTTACACTCCACAAATGAGGGGAATCATTTGGTACTTATCTTTCTCTCCCTGGCTTAGTTCTCTGAGCATAATATCCTCTAGCTCCATCCATATTGTTGCAAATGGTAGGATTTGTTTTCTTCTTATGGCTGAATAATATTCCATTGTGTATATGCACCACATCTTCTTTATCCATTCATCTACTGATGGACACTTAGGTTGCTTCTATTTCTTGGCTATTGTAAATAGTGCTGTGATAAACATAAGGGTGCATATGTCTTTTTGAAACTGGAATCTTATTTTCTTCGGGTAAATTCCTAGAAGTAGAATTCCTGGGTCAAATGGTATTTCTGCCAGAGAACCTCTGTCCTTAACCAGTGAACATATTTTTCTAACACACTCAAAAAGTTTTAGGATTAAAAAATATTTAGATAAATACTTTACTGTTACAAAAGGAAAAAAGGTCCATGCAATGCCAACACCTTTCACAATGCTTAGCACATATAGGTGGTCAATAAATATTGGTTAGTTGCCTTAAACATCTTTGTATCCTCCATGCAGCTATAGCATTGTTCATCCTTCTCTTGAAGCACTTACAACACTGTACTGGATTTACTTGTTATTTAGGGGCTGTCATGTAGTAAACTATGACCTACTTTGAATTAGGGACTAGGTATTTACAGTCTCAGTTTTAGCTCCTAGCAGGAAACCTTGTACATAACATTAGCTTGATTAATATTAAATGAAGGTATAAATGAATGGATGCAAAAAGAGTGAATTATAAAGTATTAAGTTAAGATTCAGTTTTTTTTTCTGATTTGGTGACATAAGCCTCCAATAGATGTTTTAAATATGCCATGAATGGGAGGTGTCTTTCCAGTGTGTAATGCTGGATAGCCAAAAGCATTGTGGTGATGAATTCTGGCTTGACACACTTAATATTTATGCTTCTAGATGCTTCTCTTAGTGCAAACTGTATAGAAAATCTTCAGCTAAATTTATAGTATTTCTTCTTTAAGTACTATTGTGGAAAAATAGCCAAGAACACTGAAATTTAAAAATGGTAATTGTATGTATAAATATACACACATAGACACACACACACACATATATATATAGTATATATTTAAGGGCATAAGATATACATAATATATAATAATATATATCTTTTAAATATATATATAAAAGAACCCAAGAAAAAGAATACCCACCATACTAATAATCATTACCTCTGGAAAGGGACTAGAATTAAAGGTGGTGAAAAAACACAGCAGGAGTTTTAGCTATAGCAATTTGTTTTAAGCAGGAATATTTTTAGGCCTCATTTTTCCAATAAAAATCATTCTTAAATTATTCTTAAATTTTAGTAGTACTCTCAGTTGTCAGTAATATAAGTATTGATGTCATTTAACTGACTTAGACTCATGGGGAATAGATGATATACTCTATTTTGAGAAATGCTAGTTCTTAAAGACCTTAAAAACAGGTTTATATAAAAATATCTGATTGGCAAAGTAATATACATCTATAAAAATTCCAATAATTTGGAATAAGGTAAAAGTGAAAGTCCTCCTTAACTTGGGGGTGGGAGATGAGATGGTGTAAATGAAAGAAGCATGAGTCTAAGATGCCTGTTGCAAATATTCTTTAGTAATAAAATTCTTACATTTTAGTAGGACCACTTTGACTTCCATACTTCAAGGTGGCCTTTTAGAATTATCTATGCCTCTCCAAGGGAATTCATAACATTTCTTCATTCTAAAGAAAGCACAGTGCCTAAAAGCAGCTATTATTCTAAAACTAACGTCTTCCTCTGAATTCTTCTCTATGCATAATAAATACTTTCTT